AATCACGATCCCGCCCCCTGACCCGTACCGTCCCAAACCAGAGGGCGACAGAGTGCGGGGATTGCGATCGGAGGTCACGTATATCACTCAAGTGGGAGTAGCATCACCACGTGTTAAGAGTGCGGAATCAAAGCAAACCACGAGAAATCAATAAAACTCATCCGCCAAACACTAATAACTGAAATAAATTAAAATCATTAAATTATCCATATTTAGTCTTCAAGGCCATCAACAGTATCCAAGAAATTGCAATGCATTCAAGGCACCAAAGCTTATTAATAAAATTACAAAGCTTCACAACACTGTATGGTTAACGCAAGCTGACACCTACAAAAACAATGAGATCTTCTAATCTAGCGCGGGCCTTCAGTCCACTAAACACGATCACCGCCGCCTGTCTTCGACCTGCAGCCGTCGATCTACAAGGGTGGAAGCAAAAGAATGAGCTAAAAAGCATAGTAAGTAGATCACAGTATCATGCTTCCCTACCTATGAATACTATCTCACAATACAGATCAAGGTTCTTAGCCAAGCTTATAAAATAGAAATCATGCATCACAATTATGTCACAATTATAGGATGATATTTTTCATGGTAGAGCAGGCACAATATAAAATATCAGATATCATATACACTAGCAATTTATCAAATTGTAACATATCCATAACAACAAGAGAGCATAACAAAATCAACAGACACAACCCACTCTCTAGTCCTATTCATTAAGCGACTCCCATATCTCGCAAATCGATCATATAACTCAAGTAAATCATATATCTCAGGTCAATCTCATAACTCAGGTCAATCACACATCTCAAGTCAATTACATAACTCAGGCGACTACCCATCTTGGGTAATGCAATTTTCAAAAGGCACTGCCGAGAAGTCACATATTTCCTCGTACGCACCTCACTGGTGTCAGTCATGGCCATGCGATACGCTCAAAGCATGTCAAATAATCACATAACAGTCACAGTATCACAGTATCCAACTACCAATGGGTGACCCATTGCATAGTGGTCAATATCACATACATTCACAGTATGCCAACGGTTACATATCACCTCATACGCACTCAGAAGTCACATATTCCAATACAGTATACCCCATTACCATTGGAGGACCCATTGCGAGTGGTCATATCATAGATATCAGTTTTACATATAACAGAGTCAGAATGCTCACTACCAATGGAAGACTCATTGCGTAGCGGTCCCAAAAATAACAGAATCACAATATTCATATAGCAGAATCAAACCATATCAATGTCACATAATGGCCATATTAATATCACATAATAGCAGTATCAGTATCACAGAATAATAGTATCCATATCACGGAATAACAATATCAGTCTCCCAGAATACCGGTATCAGCATCACAGTTTAACAAAATCAGATTCACAGAATAACAGTGTCCATATCACATAATAACAGTCTAGATTCACAAGATAACGGTGTCCATATCACAGAATGGATGTTACAGCTGCAATTTCAAGCCGTGACATCTGGTCGTAAATATGGTCATAATTTTTTATTCATTTGGAATTTGAAGACGGTTCCAAAACCAATTTTACACTAGACACACTATCTTCAAATCGGGGTGGATTGAAAATAATTTGATCTTGTTTGGCCCCTCAAAAGTTCAAAAGAATGGAGATAATTCATCTAAAATCTGTTGTACAATGAAGGCATTGACATGTCTTTAAATTTTACTCCATAACTCATAATCAAGAAGAAATTCTAATAAAGTAATCAACATGTGAATTTAATATTACTCATAAACCGTTCAAATGACAGTGGTTTGAAAAAAATGGACCCCTTTTGATCAGTCAAAATCTATGGCAACAGAGGCATAAATTTTGAGTTTTATAAAAGTTGTCCATAGTGATATATTGTTACAATTAATCATATAACTCTCAAATTAGGGAGAATCTCGAAAAGTGCTAAACATGTGATCTCAAGCTTACTCAAAATATTTCAAACGGCAGTGGTTTGGAAGAAAACGGATCTTATTTGGTTGATCAAAACCCTTAACATCAGATACATCAGTTTTGTGTTTTTACCAAACTATCCACAGTGATCTATTGGCATGTTTCGAAATATAACTTTACATAAATAAAGAATTAGAGCAAGGTGTGAACATAAACATTAAAATATACTCAGAAATCTTTCCAATGGCGGTGATTTTGTATCATTTGGACTCCAATTGCTAAGTCAAACTCTCAGTATAACAGAAGTAACATTCCTAAAAATTATCACAGCCTGTTAACATCGTCATACATGCATAAAACGAGCCATATCTTCCAAACTATCAATAATTTCAGCTAGTCATAAACACCAAACTCAAAGTAGACTCATAGACCTTTCAAATGATAGTGATTTGCGGCCAAATAGATATCATTTGCTTGGTCAATTCTCATCACAAAAGCATGTAAATTCCCTAGAAAATCGCAGTACAAACATGATACATTCTAAAGACTATCCCATAACTTCAAATCCATACAAGATAACAACATGAAACCTTGTCTCTCTTAAACTAGGCTCACACAAGCATCATTTCATAAAATTTCAGGATTTACAAGAGTGATTACAGTATCCAACTTATCATACAAATAAGACTTAATAGTTGAAAAAAAAGAACACAAACATACATGCTTAACTTCAAAGCCTAATTCGTGCTTTATTCATGGAAATTTATACTTAAATATCATACTTCTATACATAAGAATCATATTTCAAATCATGAATACATAATAGCATAGTCTACTTATCTTGTGTTTTGATGGTGATCCTAAGTCCTTCACGCAGCTCACTCTTCAAGTCTCTCAACAATGGGCACAAAGGGCTGGAATTTATAAGGGTTAAAAAGGGGAAAAAACATGGGGGAAAGGGAGAGGGATGAGAGATGAGAGATGGGTCGTTAAATGGGTAGTGAGAGAAGGGGAGGAGAGATGGCAACAAGCCACCTCCAAGTGGTAAACAAAAGTGTGAGACTTGGAGAGGAAAAGAAAAAGGGAAAAGGAGAGAAAAGAGGTAGTCCCTCATGGACTACTCTAATCCAACAGTCCTGGTGATCCATTCACAACACTCACGGCGGTACATGCACAACACTGGCCTCTCTTCGCACACGGCGCTAGTCCAATTCGCACGCGGCGTTGATTCGCCTTCTTCGCGTGGTGTTTCTCCCTTCTCCTTCGCACGGCTTTTCTCCCTTCTCTTTCGTGTGACGTTTCTCCCTTCTTATTCGCGCGGTGTTTCTCCCTTCTTTGCGCAATGTTACTCATCCTTCTTCGCACAACGTTACTCATCCTTCTTCGCGTGGCATTTCTCCCTTCTTCTTCATGCGGCATTACTCCTCCTTATTCGCGCGTCGTTTCTCCCTTCTTCTTCGCGTAACGTTACTCCTCCTTCTTCGCGCTAGGTTACTCATCCTTCTTCACGCGGCATTTCTTCCTTTTTCTTTGTGCGGCGTTACTCCTCCTTATTCGCGCGTCATTTATCCCTTCTTCTTCGGGCGGCGTTACTCCTCCTTCTTCGTGCGTCGTTTCTCCCTTCTTCTTCGCGTGGCGTTACTCCTCCTTCTTCACGTGGTGTTTCTCCCTCATTCTTCACACGACGTATCTCCCTTCTTCTTTGCGCGATGTTACTCCTCCTTCTTCGCATGGCGTTTCTCCCTTCTTCTTCGTGCAGTCGCACGAGCTCACCAAGTTCACAAAATTTGGGTCATTACATGAGAATGGCAGGAAACAAGTATATTTGTGTCCGCTTGAGGCATCTCGCATCCATCTTAAAGACGAATGTAGAGGTATTACCCTCCAAGAAAGGCAAAAATTAAATATCATCTCAATCTGATCTGAAAATCTTGTTTTAAATGATCCTAAAAAGATTTTATTTCAAAATCTCACCTCAATCTCATCTCAAAAATGGATCATGGAGAGGGGATGTATATCTACATTTGAGTCCTATGACTCGTAAAAAGCGTATATATGAGTCCCAAGACTCATGTAAAAAATAAGGGTGTGGTTTGTATAGAGTCTAGGCTCTAGACAATCAAATTAGAGTCTACCTTAAAAACTAGTGTTGAGAACTGTGGTTTTAATACTGAAAATCTTTGTAATAGCCTTAAAATATATTTTTATTTTTATTTATAAAGTTTAAAGCTTCAAAAATAGTGTAAATCGACATATCTATGAAAATTTGAAAAACTTGAAAATTGACGGTCAAAAATGTGACACAAAAATCTATTTTCAATACTTGAAATTCATTTTCTTCTTATGTTCATGCATCTAGATGTCAAGATAATCAATTTAAAGATATTTGGACATCAAAACAACCTCTTTCAACAAAAATTTTGAAGTAGGCTCTAATTTGATTGTTTAGAACCTCGGAATTCATTTTATAGCGTTATTTTTTAGGGAGAGAATGGGTAAGAGAGAGACAACGTAAGAGAGAGAGAGACCGAGTTTTTGATTCATTACAGGTAGAGAGAGAAAGCAAATCCACGGTTGTAAACCACCAGTATTGTGGCTGCTTCTTAGAGAGTGAAGTATCGGCACTGGTCGGTTTTGAGAGAAAAACATGAGAGAGAAAATGAAGTAGAAAACGCGAGGACAACGTCTTTGCTTTGACTTGTCATCATTTCTAAACGGGGAATCAAGGGGTTTTAAAAGGTATAAACCCCAAGAATTCATGGAGAGAGAAAGCAATTTCATAGAGAGAGAAAGGAAAGACAAATTGAGAGAGAGAGAGAGACTTCGTCGCAAAGTCACAGTACATAGTTGAGAGGGAGAAGGAGTGAGAGTGAGATTTTAGGGCTATTTGTGTCAATTGCTGAGAGAGATCAAGTTCTGAAATTTCAACCAGGGGCTTTGGGATCAGCTTGAGAGAGAAGCTTCTTCTCTTGGAGATTAGAGAGAGAGAGAGTCTTCTTCTTTGGAGTTTAGAGAGAGAGAGAGGAGGGAGAGCCGGCCAATTGGTGATTGAAAATACAGAGAGAGAGAAAGCTTCTTGTTTTGGGGATTGGAAAGAGAGAGAAGCTTCTTCTTTGTAGTTTAGAGAGAGAGACTCCTTCTATAGAGATTCGCTTAGTCGTTGCTTCCCGCGTTAAAACAGTAGACAAAAGCAGCAAGCTTCTTCGCCGTTGCTTCGTGCGTTTCAGGTTCATTACGTCACACCTCTCTCTCTCTCTCTCTCTCTCTCTCC